CGCCCAGGAGGCGGGGCCGCAGGCACCGCGAGCCCCAGGGCCCCGGCTCACGCAACCGCCCCCAGACCCCCTGCGTCCCCTCGGCCTGCCACGCGGCGCCTGTCGGAGTCTGGTGCTCCCCGCTCAGCACATTGCTCGTCCACTGCTCTGAGCTCAGGACCTCGTCCGTCTCACGCATGTGTGACCCCAGGAAGGTCCCCGCTGTGCACAGCTCGGACCCGCGCCTGTAATAGGGGTGACAGTCCTCACAGGTGCAGACCCCCCTCGGCAGCAGGGAGCATCTGATAAGCTGCAGGCTCCCCAGCGCCGTGTCCATCCCCACAGAAACTGCCCTCCGCGATTTCAAAGCTGAGCGAGGGTGGCGGGCAGGGCCAGAAGCTCCCTGACTTCGGCCAGCGCATCAAGGATCCCCTCTCCCAGATGCGGGGTGCCTGGCCCGTCACCCGCAGAGCTCGGAGGTCGGGCTTCAGGGAATGCGCTGCTCATGTTAATGTGTCGACGAAGTCATGGGTTGGTTGCACACGAGAAATTAATTTACAAACATCGGACACTGGTTTCGGCCACGCTCCACATCAAGGAAAGCTTCCTTGTTGATTAGCTCTGCAGTCTGCTGTGACGGCCTCGTCCAGGCCGGGGGACTGTGCCCTGGGGCGGGAGTCTGGGGACAGCCTCCTGCCTGAAAGCCCAGAAGCACATGCTCTTTCGTGTGTGCATGTTCCCTGACCCGGTTTGGGGTGGAGGCTGAGATTTAAACCCTCACAGCGAACTGTGGAAGACAGCACCGCCACACACCATGGGTGACCTCATACGGTCCCACGACCTCGCCCGGCCTCAGTTCACTCAGTCGCAAAATGGGGTGAGAACCCCTTCTGAGGAGGGCTGAGAGGATTCAGTGAGGGGGTGCCTGCAAAGCGCAGAGCCGGTGCCCGTACAGGGCAGCTGCTCAATGGACAACATCGCTGTCGGTCTTGGTCGCATAATAATGACCTTGCAGCAGTAACATCAGGCTTCTGCACAGCGATTATCATGAGCCAGGCGCTATGCCAGACGGCACGTGTATTTAATTCCCGCGACTACCGGCTGAGGCACATGCTGTTCCTTTCCCTATTCTGTGGGTGAGGGAACAGACATGGGGGAGCCGGCGAGAAGCAGACATCTCGGAGGCAGACCTGGGACTGCAGCCAGAGTCTGTGCTCTCAAGCCGTAAGCTAGAATTCAAAGCACTTCTCTTGAAATACTGTCCCTGGACATCGAACACCATTCCGTCCCTTCCAACGGGCACGCTGCCGACCCCCGAGGTTTAAAATGACCCGAGAATGTTTGGACTTGGCTGGAAGAGAACGGCAGAGCGAGATGGGGCTTCCACGGTTTCCAGCCCACTGACCGCTGGGCAGCGAAGGCCCAGCAAGGCCTGGGGGGCAAAACCAATGAGCAGAACGAGACGCAAAAGCAGAATCTGGGCCCCGCTGCCCCCCATGGGGCAGCCTGCCCTGCAAACGTTTTCAAATACAGATCTGCCCGTGGCCGGGTCCCTGCGGTCACTAGTTATCATGTGCCTTATCTGTCCTTGCATGGCAAGTTATCCCCAGATGTGGTGGCTGAAGACAAACGTTTGTCGTCTCGGTTTCTGTGGGTCGTAGTTTCAGGAGTGACAGGGCCCAGGGCCCCTTAGGAGGCTGCAGACACGACAGTGCCAGGCTGTGTCACCTGTAAGTGTGACTGGGGCCGAGGATCCGTGTCCACTGTGGCGATCCATTCATTGACCTGTCCTCATGGCATGGCATGGCAGCTGGCTCCCCCAGGACCAGTGACCGAGAGACAAGAGAGCTAGCAGGATGCTGCAGTCCCCAGAGTCAGATACCCTCACTTACGCTTGCTTCTTGTAATGAAAAGCAGGTCACCAAATCCGGGACACGCTCCAAAGAGGAAGGGATGTGGGCGCCACCTTTTGAAGGGAGGGGTACCCAGCCTTTGGTTACTCTCACTTAGTACCAGGGGACCAAGAGAGGCTCAAACACCCAGGAATGGGAGGCATTTTCCAGATAGTCCTACAAACTGAAAACCAGTGGCTGCCCTGGGCTGGGATCAGGCCCCTGAGGCTCCGCCCAGACCTGCCAGGGACCTTAGGGCGAGACACCGCTCCCTGATTTCACGTCTTCACTGTAAAGTCAGAACGACGCCTGCCACGGGTCCGTGACATTGGCCTGCTTCCCTGTTGGTAACGGGGGACTTCGGACTTCTGTGATTTAGGTGATGCCGCTGCGGGGGCAGGAAGAGGCCACGCCCCCAGCTGACCCCCCCCCCACTCGGGAAGGCCCCCTCCAAGAGACTTCAGACTTCTGTGATTTAGGCGATGCCGCTGCGGGGGGCAGGAAGAGGCCACGCCCCCAGCTGACCGCCCCCCCACCTCGGGAAGGCCCCCTCCAACACAGTCTCGCGGGACCCATTGGGCTCCTTATATAAACACCCACCCGGAGCATAGCACATGTGCGCACGCACCGTCAAAGCCCCGCCCCCCGCACGCGCTGGGACCCCCCGCACCCGCAGGGCCCCGGCTCAGGCCGCCTGCTCTTCTTCAGAACGGTGTGGTGTCCCTCATCGACTGCACCTTGCTGGAGGACGCGGAGAGCACGGAGGAGGAAGGTGGGTGTGGGAGCTGCTCGGACAAGTGCGCACGCTCGCTCGCCCCAGGGCTGTGTGTCCCCAGGCACGGTCTTGGCCGAGGAGCAGGGAGGACGCTGCCGTGTGGCGGCCCCTCTCCCGCGCCGTGGTCCACAAAGTCCCCCCACTGGCCCTGCGTGGCTGCAAGCTGCTTCTGGGCCGCAGGCCTCGGTCCTCCCGTCACGAAGTGGGGGGTCCTCACCTAGGGAAAAAGAAACGTTCTGGAAATAGCCAGGGGCCAGCGCTGCCTCCCCCGGGGCAGAGGGTGGGGGGATGGGGGGACCATTGCCGTGGTTTCTAGCTCAGAAGCCGCCCTCGCCCACTCTGCTACCTCCATGTTTTGCAACTGGAAGCCAAAGGGTCCGGCCAAGACATGGACCGCCTGGATTTTAAGATCGGGGTGGAGCCGAAGGACTCCCCGCCCTTCACGGTCACCCTTGTGGCCTCGTCCAGACAGGAGAAGGCAGCGTGGACCAGTGACATCAGCCAGGTGAGCAGCGTCCGTGTTCCCGCAGCCTGTGGTCCCCTCGGGCCTGAGCTGGCTGAGGACCTGGGGCCGCTGCAGGGTTCGAGTGGACGAGGGGCCGTGTTACCAGGCACAGCGCCCACCAGGGCTGAACGCGGCTACCCCATCCGGCCGGCAGGAAGGGGTCCTCGGCTACCTGCAAAGAAGGGTCTAGGAACCCCTTGCACCGGGATTGTCCTCTGTGGTGACTCTTAAAAGTCCAGAGCCCGGAGCTCCTCCTGCCCCGCCCCCAGCCCCCACAGACTTACTAGATGCGAATCTGCGGCGGGGACCTGGGGGCCTGCATTTCAGCAGATGTCCAGGCCATCGGGGGCACAGAACAGTCTGCGAGCCACACCCCAGGGTGTGGGAACAGCAGAGCTTGCAGAGTGAGGACGGAGGCCCACAGGGCTCTGTGCCCTGACCCTGCCGTGCCGGGCCCCGTGTCCAGCAAGGCACAGGACCTGCTCGCTGGCCAGAGCCCCTGCCAGGCCCGGGTCCCAAGTCGGGGCCGAGGTGCTGACCCTGGGCCCCCCTCTCTGGCCGCAGTGCGTGGACAACATCCGATGCAACGGGCTCATGATGAACGCCTTTGAGGAGAATTCCAAGGTCACGGTGCCGCAGATGATCAAGTAAGCGCCCCTGACCTCGTGCTTGCTCCCCAGGCCGCTGAGCGCCCCGCGGTGACGGCAGGGACGGTGGGCAGTGGGCCGGCCAGTGCTGGGCTCAGGGACCCGGCTTCCATCTTCTGGGTGTTCGTTTTGAGTCAGCGTCTGCTGGGACGTTGGCTTCGGCTTCGAGGATTTCTGTATTAGGCGGCTTAGGGTACAACAGGAATGGCCCTTGAGCCTTTTCTATTTTTACGATGACAGTTTTTCCTTTCCTCGTCGCAAAATGAGAACATGTGGAAAACGCGGGCTTCCTGGGCCCCTGGGCATCCCGCTGGCCCCGCTCTGGGCCCGTGGCCGGCACAGGCTTCTCCCCAGCTGGCCGCCGCCTGCCGCACGCGGGGGCCGCTCGCGCAGGGCTGCATCGTAGGGCATTCACGGTGCCACCGCCACCACGGCCTAGTTCCGGAGCGCGCTCCCGTCACCCGGGAAGAGGCCCGCGTACTGGCGGTCAGTTCCAGTCCCTGCTCTCCCCGCCCCGGCAACGGGGCCTGGGGCCCGGCCTGGCCTGGCCGCTTCACGTCGTGTGGGCTTTGTGACGGGCCCTGCACGCAGCACGCTGTTGAGAAGGTCGTCCTGGCGCGTGTCACTGCTTCGTGGGCAGCAGCGCCCACGCACGGACAGCGGGGGCGTTTCCAGTTCTCGTCCCACGTTGGTGTGAACGGGCGTCCCTTAAGCCTCGCGAACTCGGCAGCCCGTTATTTCGAAGTTCGTTCTCTTTTTTCCAGTGTCTCTAGGAGTTTTATGACACCAGGTTTTCAGGATGTTGGGGGGAGAATGCACCCAGGGCCCCCCACCCCACAAAGCAGTCCTCATCCCCGTAACAAGCCCACCGGGCCCTCCGGCGGGCCAGCCGGCCACGGGCTCGGAGCCCGCAGCCCCCAGTCAGCCCGGCCTCCCCGCAGGTCCGACGCGTCCCTGTACTGCGACGACGTGGACATCCGCTTCAGCAAGACCATGAACTCCTGCAAGGTGCTGCAGATCCGCTACGCCAGCGTGGGCCGCCTGCTGGAGCGGCTGACGGACCTGCGCTTCCTGAGCATCGACTTCCTCAACACCTTCCTGCACTCCTACCGCGTCTTCACCACGGCCGTCGTGGTGCTGGACAAGCTCATCACCATCTACAGGAAGCCGATCAGCGCCATCCCCGCCAGGTGGGCGGCCCACGGCCCGGGGGGGCAGGCTGGGCCCCGAGCTGGGGCTGCAGGCCACCCCAGGGGTAGGGACGGCGCCTCCTGACCCGCAGGCTCCGGGGTGGGGCACGCACCCCGATGTCCTCCCTGCCTCAGCTCTCAGCTCTCTGGCCGTAGGGGACCCACCCCTGCCCCCCACCTTCCCATCTAAGACGAAAGGGAGGGAGGGAGGGGGCACAGAGAGCGTCTCCCCTTCTCTGTGGAGCCGCGCCCAGCTCTTCGGGCATGCCCAAGGTGCTACGGCACGTGCAGGCCACCGGGGCCTTGAGGGGGCTGTCCAGGGCCCAGGAGGGACAAGAGGTGGCCCCAGGGCCTCAGTGAGCCCACCTGTGCCCACCCCTGAGCGCAGGCAACAGTGGTGGCCGCAGTGCCAGAGCCCAGCATCACCGCCTCCCAGGGCCACAGGGAGGACAGGCTGGTCCCAAGGCAGGAGAGGGTCCGGGGGGCCCGGGGGCTCGAGCCGCCCCGCCTCCCGCCTCCCAGAGCGTGACCACCCGCCCCCGCGCCCCTGCCAGCCCGGCACTCACTGCTCGGGCCTCGCGGCGGTCGGCTTCCCAAGGCCCTGAGCGGGCAGGAGTGACCCTGAAAACCAGCCCAGACCCTTCCCGGTGCCCAGCTGGCCGCCCCCCCTTCCCAGCAGACAGGGGACCCCAGGCCTGGGCCGGCGGTCGGCCCGGCGGTCAGGCCGCGCTGACCTGTCCTTCTCGGCCCCCGCGCCCCACACAGGTCACTGGAGCTCTTGTTCGCCAGCGGCCAGAACAACAAGCTCCTGTACGGTGACCCCCCGAAGTCCCCACGTGCCACCCGCAAGTTCTCCTCACCGCCTCCGCTGACCATCACCAAGACATCCTCGCCCAGCCGCCGGCGGAAGCTCTCCCTCAACATCCCCATCATCACAGGCGGCAAGGCCCTGGACCTGGCCGCCCTGGGCTGCAGCTCCAACGGCTACACCGGCGTGTATTCGGCCATGTCGCCCTTCAGCAAGGCCACCCTGGACACCAGCAAGCTCTACGTGTCCGGCGGCTTTACCAACAAGATCACAGACGAGGGGGACACGACCAGCGAGAAGCCGGAGGACCCCTCGGCCCCCAGCAAGCAGAGTGAGTGGACAGGGCTGATGGGCCTGTATGGCTCCCGTGGGGCAGGAGGGAAGCCTGGGGGTCCCAGGCAGACCGTGATGGCTGTGCAGGGCCTGGGCAGGGCAGAGAGGCCGCCATGTGACAGCCGGGCCCTCCCGCACCCCTGGGCTCGTCCATCTCTGCGCAGGTACTGGCCAGGCCCCACTCACCAGGTCCTGGCTCCCACCCACATTCACGGTGTGGCTCGGGAGCGGGACCAGACACGGGAGCGTGGACGCCTGCCAGGGCTGGCGGGGCCGCATAAAGCTGTCGAGCTCCGTCTGCTCCACGGGCTTGTCCCACACGTGCTCTGTTTTGCACCAATAACTTACAGACCTGAATCTAGACATCGGTGACCATTTGAGCACCATCCCATGACCTCCTCCCCCGCAGGCTCTGATGTCTCCATGAGGGAAGAGTCAGACACCGATGACAACCAGAGTGACGACGGCGACACGGAAACATCGCCCTCCAAGTCGCCAACGACGCCGAAGTCCATCAAGAGCAGAAGCCCCTCAGGTACGTGAGGCCCCCGCGGGGTGAGGGCAGCCCCCCCGAGCTGCGAGGTGGGGCGGGGGCGTCGCCCTTCTGCCGCGTCCTTCCGACCCCTCGCTGCGGGAACTGCGCCACACCCCACGAACCTGGGTGGCCGCGGGGCTGCGGCACGGCGTGGGTGGGGCCCCCTCTTCCGCTCGGCAAAGTCCCTCCAGGCCCCGGAGGGGACGCGCGCCCCGCCCGACGCTGGGGGCGGGAAGGCCGGGCTCACTCTGGACTCCTGGGTCCAGAGGTGCTTCCTGAGCTCCCGCTCCGTGTCGGGCTCCTGGCGGCCTCGTCCCCATTTTAAACCAAAGGAAAAGACTGACGGCTGTGGGGAGGTCTACCCTCCTAAGGGTCCTCGGGGAGCCCTCTGGGTTCCAGCTCCCCTCAAACTCCTCCCCGCACACAGGGCTCTGGGAGGCGCGAAGGCGAGATGGGAGCCGGGGGTGGGGGCTCCCTGCCACCCCCACCCTCTCGAGCCCCTGCCCCCACACAGCACGAGATGCAACTGAATCCCCAGCTCCCCAACTCCCAGGCCTTCTGAAGACACCCCGTAAATAACAGGTCACCCAGCTCAGAGACGTGGCCTGGACGCACGCATGACGGGCACACGCACCTTCTCACATGCATGGAGCCGATCTCGCCCAGGGCCGGAAGGTCGCCCCAAAGGTCGCCCCAAAGTAGGCTGGGTCATTAAAGTGTATCGTTCGCTCCTCAGAGCTGAGGTGCTGTCACTTTGTCCGGGTGCGGACTGCTCTCCAGTCCTAGGAGGCTGAAGGTTTCTGTCCAACCCTGCCCTCCGGCTATCCGGAGTTGTCACTGACAACTGTCCGACCCTGCCTTGCTACCCCACAGCGGCCGCAGAGCTCTGCACGGCCCCAAGTTCCTCCATCCTCCCATCTCCACTCTGACCCTTTGAAGCACGTGTCGATGCCCGACTTACCCCAAAGTTACCGAGACCTGAGTTATGGAGCTGACCCAGGACCCCACAGCTAGCAAGGGAGGGCTCGGCGTGCAGGGCTCCGTACCCCGCCAGGCCCGGGAGCCTCGTCACAGGTGACGAGCTCGTTCCGAATGGACGGCAAGGGGGAGAAGGTGACGGCTGTCCTGCAGGCGGCCTGTGCCCAGCTGGGCTAAGAGGTGACCGGCCTCTGGAACAACAGACGGACGGGGTGGCTGGAGCCTTTCTTCAGAAACAGGAGGGAGGCGGGGGCTTTCCCTCCCGAGGCCGCCCTGCGGGTGGCAAGCAGAGGCAGGTGACAGACCCCGCCGGCAGCACCGCCTGTCCCCCGTCTGGAACGCTGGTTTCCTCGCAGCCCGGGGGCTGGGGCAGAAAAGGCTGAGGGTGGCTCCTTCCTCTCCAGAGTTCCCGCTCTTCTCCTACAATAACGGGGTCGTCATGACCTCCTGTCGCGAGCTGGACAATAACCGAAGCGCCCTGTCGGCAGCCTCCGCCTTTGCCATAGCGACCGCAGGCGCCAACGAGGGCACCCCAAACAAGGAGAAGTACCGGAGGATGTCCCTGGCCAGCGCAGGTGTGTGGGGCCTCCACTCGCGACAGCCCTGAGCTCAGCCCGGGTGCGAGGCCGCAAAGACGCACGACCCCAGGATCCCGCCCGCTCTGGCTGCTCCAGGCCTGGCCGGTGCTGACCCTCCACCTGGAGCCCCCTCCCTCCCACCGGGCCCTGTGCTGCGGGCACACTTGGACCCATCCTCAAGTCCTGCCCGGGGGGCCCGATCGCCCTCCTCCCAGTCCACACACTGGTCCTGCTCAGAGGCTGGAGCGGGGCGCGGGCTCTGGCCCGGAGAGGCTGCCAGACCCTCCGGCAGCCCCTGAAAGGTGCAGGCTGGTCAAAGTAGGAGTGGGGACTGTGTCCACTGGGCCGTCAGGCGTCCAGGCCCCCTGGCCAGCGCCCAGGCTGCATGTCCAGCCCGTTATCACCCACTGCAGCCCCGCCCCGCAGCCCTGAGGGACAGCCCGGCTCGCCCAGACCCAGCGCTGAGCTGAGGTGAGGGCGAGCTGTCTCTCGTCTTCATGGTCCTGCGTCCTGTGTGCCACGCTGCCCCAGGCTTCCCCCCCGACCAGAGGAACGGGGACAAGGAGTTCGTGATCCGCCGGGCGGCCACCAACCGCGTCCTCAACGTGCTGCGCCACTGGGTCTCCAAGCACTCTCAGGTGGGTGGGAGGCCCGGCGGCCTCTGGGGACCGGTGGGCACTGTTGTGGGAACCAGACGGCAGCAGAGCGCGGGAGGGAGGAGCCCGGGCGTGCTGCCCGATGTCGCAGAGCCCAGGGGACCAAGGACACTCCACGGGACAGGGCCCTCATCTCGCCACCTCTCTGCAGCAGGGGTGCAAAGCACAGCCGAGCCTCCCAGAGCCCGGGCCTAGGGTGCAGCCAACTCAGCGCCAGTCCCTGGTCTCACCCAGGGCCTTTTACATGAGGGTCCCCAGGCCCACTGGGGCCCCGTCATGAGGGGGCAGCCTCCTCTGGCCTCGGCTGGGACCCACGGGGCGGCCTCAGCACAGTAGCCAGAGGCACCATCACACCCTGCAGGACTTTGAGACCAATGATGAGCTCAAGTGCAAGGTGATCGGCTTCCTGGAGGAGGTCATGCACGACCCTGAGCTCCTGACCCAGGAGCGGAAGGCTGCGGCCAACATCATCAGGTACGGCCTCCCCGCCTCTGGGACGGGGGTCTGTCCCCACTGCCGTGCGCGTGGCGGGCCTCGGGCAGGTGTGCAGGGCGGCCGTCGCCCCTCGTGCCGCCGGGCTCTGGAGCTGCCGGGCCGTGTGTCCCCTCCCCTCCCCCGCCATCAGGCCCTGACCCCTGGAGGCAAGAACACTGCCCGCTGCTCCATCCACGTCCACGCCTGCCAACGCCTGCGCTGTCCCGTGTGGTAGCACCGCGACACAGGGCTCTCAACCCCCGACTAAATTTTAGGAAAATTTAAAATTCAGTTTCTCAGTCACACAAGCCACACGGGCTCGTGGCTCCGTGTTGGGCAGCACAGACAGACGGTGTTGCATCATTCCAGAGAGTTCTGCGGGCCGCTCAGCGCAGGCTGGGCGCAGGCGCACGCGCACCCGCCGCTCCCACCGGCTGACGGGGCCCAGGGCCGGCCTCCCCCCCTCGCTTCCGGCCCGCCCTGCATCCTGTCTCTGACCCAGACTTGCAGCCAGACCTTCCCGTTGCCCCTCCCGCCCCAGGCCCGTGCCACAGCCCCTCGGTCCCCAGGCTCTGTCCTACAATCTCCTTCAGGCCTCCCCCACCACAGCGCACGCGTGTCCACGCACGGTCAGCCCCCCGGGGCCCCCGGCATCTCCCGCTGCCTTCCTTGGAACTTACGATCACAGCCATCCAGTTAGGGAGCTGCCTGGGGTGCAGTACAGAGCAGGCTGCAGTCCCCTGTCCCCACCCCTGGCCTGGCTCCGTTCATGTCACCCTGCCCTAAAGGGCCACTGGCCTGTGTCTAGCAAGGGCCAGGTACAGACGTGGGGAGGCTGGGGTGAGACCACAGGAGGGGCCCTCACCCAGCGGGAGCCAAGGACGGACCATCAGGAAGTCAGCAGGGAAGAATGGGGAGGGGTTCCCACGAAAGGGGAGGGCAGAGCACAGACAGAGGTGGGGGGGTGGGGGGGCTGCAGGGCGCTCTGCTGAGGGGGGATTGGGGGGCTGCCCCAGAGGTGGGGTGCGGTACAGGCCGCATGGCTCACTGTGCCTCCCCATCCCCAGGACGCTGACACAGGAGGACCCAGGTGACAACCAGACCACACTGGAGGAGATCATGCAGATGGTGAGCCAGGCCCGTCCTTCCCGGGGCCCGAGGACCCCCTCACCCAGCACGGTCGCTCCCGCCCGCGTCCTGCCGGCCCCCAGGCCTCTCCTGGGTCCTGGGCCCTGACGGAGTGAATGTGGCTGAGCTGCGCTCCTGCCTGCACCTGCTTCCGAGGCTGGGGCTCCTCACCCGTGAAACACGCATCACACCCTCACCCCTGGCCCCCACGGCCTTCCTGAGAGCTGTCGCTCCCATGGGACGGTGTCCCCACAGCCGTGCGCCTGCCCTGGGGCTTCTGCACGGCTGTTCTTGACCGGGTGACTGTGGGGCGATGCACAGACGCCCCGCCTCACACGCACACGTGCACACGGCCCCTTCTCCCACTATCCTACACTCTGTCCCTGTGCCCCGGTCTGTGACGGCGGCTCCATGAAGCCAGGGGCCTCCTAGCCCCGGGGTCTAGCGAGGACCTGGCAGTGCAGACCTCGGGACTATTTGCTAGGAGGTGGAAGGGACACCATCAAGGAGGGACAGCTTGCTCCCCTGGTACGGGGACCCCATTTCCCTGTGAGCACTGCAGATGGGTTGCTGTCTGCGCTTGGCTTGGCTGGGACTTCTGGGTGGGAGCTGCCTGTCCCCCCACGTGCCTGGGCGGCCTGGGGCGGGGGTCGCTCTTTCTGACTCATCCTCGGTGGGCACAGGCTCCGCCCAGACCGGCACAGTCATCCCCATGCCCCTTCCCTCCAGCTCCCTCCAGCCCCTCCTGGATCCAACAGACCAGACCCCCCGTGAGGCCTCCCCACGTCCACCGCCTATAGAATCCCTGCCATGGGGACCTCGGTCCCCAGCTGCTGTGTCCTGAGGCCTTACCCTAGTCCAGGGATGCTGGTGGGGGACGCCTTTAACAAAGCTGGCCACCACGGGTGACCCTGGGCCAGGAACGCAGTGGCCCTGGACTCAGACCAGCACTGTTCTCTGGGCACGGGGCGGGAACCATGTCTCAGGAGGTGGCCACCCTCGTGAGTCCACATCCGCTCCTGACTTTAAAGGGGACTTTTATAGACCCCACGCGGACCAGACAGTCAGAAGGCTGGGCTTCGGCCCCAGCCATTAACCCTGGAGCCCTGTGGTCATTTAATCACTGTGGGTGACAGCTGCCCCGTTGCAGGGGGAGTGATGACTAAACGAGGCCCAGGCCTGCAGCACAGGCTGTTACACGCGTTGGCTCCGGCTCCCTGGTCCCCTCACGTCCCCTCGTCTGGACCGCCAGGAGGGACCGCCCCCAGTGACCGCCATCCGCCCGCCCCGGAGAGGCGGCCCCGGGAGCCGGGGGGAGCCGG